TACAAATAGCAGGGTAAGAATTCTGCAGACGCTGTTAAAAAAGCCTGAAAGGAGATGCAGGGGCCCAGAGCACATCCTTGTTACATCCTTAGCCAGACTTCTTAGCTTTTAGATTTTCCACAAGTACATTATTTTCTGAGTGCTTGTTTTCTGCTCATACTTTTGCTTGATGCCTTTCCTAATCCATCTGCACAACACTGTGAGGGACCTACGATGAACAGTCTCAATTTACTGCTTGAGGAGACTGCCTCTGAGAGGTGAACTGACAGACCCCGTGCTCCTGGTGAATGAACGAGGCGTCAGTGTTTGACCCCAGCCCATCCAACTCTAAACCTGGTGCCCTTCTCACTAAGCTCAAGATGGCCTTCCTGAGGTTTAACTTCAGCGGTGGTATCAGGAAAGGATAGGATAAATGTTTCAGTCTAGAAGACTACTTGAAGACCTTTCTATGTTACTCTCTCTCCAAAACTCCTATGAAAACAAAATTACATCCCTCATCACCCCAACTATTGCCCAAATAAAGAAACTTCTGGAATTAGGAAATGAGGTTGCATGGAGACTTCAGGTAACGTGATGACCTTGTGACCTGCAGAAATCTCTCTGCTTCCTCCTATCCTCTCCTCTCCCCCATACTTCACCAACAATATATTTTCCTGTCAAAACATACTTGGTTACATGCTGTGCAACCAAAATTGCTGCTATTAATTTAATCGAGACAGGTTATTATAAATAAATTACATGTAGTGCTACTGAAATTGCTGCTATTAGTCTAAATCGAGACAGGCTAATTAGTCATTCACCAACTGTAGCTTACTGTATTTTTATGCAAATAATGCACACAATATACAGTTTTTTGCAAACTGCAGAACCTTGTGTATTAGTCTCCTGTAAGTACTAGGAGTGTTATGTGTGTGCACAACATTTCAGTGGGCATGTTATATGTGAAAAATATGATAACTCAAAATGCATCCCATGTGACCACAAAGGCCCTGGGGTTATCTGACAGTCCATAGGATGGGGAGGCCAAAGCCCCAAGATAGGGCTGCAAGGCCACAGCTTTCTTTGGCTCTCAGTGAGTAAGAGAGCAAAAGTCCTGAGAGCTGGTTGGTGGGGTGTGCTTGCAGGAGGTTAATGACCTTCATAGGAACTTAGAGCTGGAAAAGACCATGTCTAGGAACCTTCCCATGTGGAAAATCTGTGCAGTGCATTGTATGTGTGTGTGAGTGTGTGTGTACGTGTGTATTTCTTAATGTGTTAATCTTCTGCCCTTCCCCAAAATAATTTCATAGTAGATTTGAAAAATGGAAAATTTCAAAGTCAGAAATAGTTATACATCTGTATCTATATCTATCTATCAGGAGCTCTGGTAGCATAGTGGCTAAAGCACTTGACTGCTAACCAGAAGGCTGGCGGTTCAAACCCACCAGCCACTCCTTGGAAGGAAGGTTGGGCAAT